CCAAGATTGAAAGAGAAACAGGAAAACAGTTGAAATCAGGTCACGCTGATAATGGTGGTGAGTATAGGGGACCGTTTGAGAATTACTGCAGACTCTATGGAATCAGGCTTGAGAAGACTCCAGCTAAGACACCTCAGCTTAATGGTGTAGCAGAGAGAATGAACAGAACAATTGAAGAAAGAATCAGGTGCATGCTTTCTCACGCAAAGTTTCCTAAGTCTTTTTGGGAGAAGGCCATGAGAACCGCAGTCGATTTGATTAATCTTTCTCCAGCAGCTGCCTTGGATGGTAATGTTCCAAATAGAGTTTGGACTGGGAAAGATGTCTCTTATGATTACTTGAGAGTTTTTGGCTGCAAGGCGTTCGTTCATATTCCTAAAGATGAGAGATCCAAGCTTGATGATAAGGCGAAACCATGTATTTTCTTAGGCTATGGCCACGAGGAGTTTGGGTACAGATTATGGGATCCGGTGAATAAGAAAATTATCAGAAGTAGAGATGTTGTCTTCCTTGAAGACCAAGTGATTGATGATGGTAACAAGGGTGAAAAGCCTTGTTCCTCTACTGAAATTCCTGTCAATTTGGATCCAATTTCTCCACTTGTAGAGAATACTGATCAAGGGGGAGATGTCCAAGAAGATGGTGGAGATGTTAATGATGAAGCCCCTATAGTTGATGATGTAGAGCCAGTTGACCAAGTTGAACAAGCACCGCTAGCACCACCAGTTGAGTCTCAGGTGAGAAGATCTACAAGAGAGCGTCGTCTGCCTAGTCGATACACTACTAATGAGTATGTGATGCTCACTAATGGGGGAGACCCATAAACTTACCAAGAAGTTGTTTCATATGAGAAAAAGTAAGAGTGTGCCATGCAAGAAAAGATGAAATCCTTGTGTGAGAACCACACTTATGACTTGGTGAAGTTACCTAAAGGCAAGAAAGCGCTCAAGAACAAGTGGGTTTACAGGTTGAAAACTGAGAACAATAGCTCACAACTAAGGTACAAGGCAAGGTTAGTTGTGAAGGGGTTTGGTCAGAAGAAAGGTGTCGACTTTGAAGAAATCTTTTCTCCTGTTGTGAAGATGTCATCCATCAGAGTTGTTTTTGGTCTAGCTGCCCGCTTGAATTTAGAGGTAGAGCAACTTGATGTGAAAACTACGTTCCTTCACGGTGACTTAGAGGAAGAAATTTTTATGGAGCAACCAGAAGGGTTCAAAGTCAAGGGACAAGAGCATCTTGTGTGCAAGTTGAAGAAGAGCTTGTATGGGCTCAAACAAGCACCAAGACAGTGGTACAAAAAGTTTGACTCTTTCATTATGAGTTACAGGTACACTAGGACTTCATCTGACCATTGTGTGTTCATTAAGAAACACTCTAGTGATGATTTCGTCATCCTTCTACTATATGTTGATGATATGTTGATCATTGGCCATGATGCTAGCAAGATTGAGAAGCTAAAGAGAGAGTTAAGTAAGTCATTTGCCATGAAAAGACTTGGGATCGGCGAAGCAGATACTTGGTATGAAGATCTCCCGTGATAGGAAGAATGGGAAGTTATGGTTATCTTAAGAAAGCTACATTGAAAAGGTTCTTGAAAGATTCAATATGAGTAAGGCCAAGGCTGTTTGTTCTCCACTTGCAGGTCACTTCAAGCTTACAGTTGAACAATGTCCTACAAGTGAGAAAGAAAAAGAAGAAATGAGCAAAGTGCCATATGCGTCTGCAGTTGGCAGTTTGATGTATGCTATGGTCTATATAAGGCCAGATAGTTGGAATTGTTAACCGATTCCTTTCTAATCCTGGAAAAGAACACTGGGTAGCAGTAAAATGGATATTGAGATATCTGAAAGGTACTTCTAGGGTGTGTTTATGCTTTGGCAGTGGTGAGCCTATTCTAGATGGGTACACAGATTCAGACATGGCAGGTGACATTGATTCCAGGAAGTCTATCTCAGGATTCTTGATGACTTTTGTAGGGGGAGCAATCTCTTGGCAGTCCAAGCTACAAAAGCGTGTCGCTCTATCCACCACAGAAGCTGAGTACATAGCAATTACTGAAGGTTACAAGGAAGCTTTGTGGATGAAGAGGTTTCTTGAAGAACTGGGCATGCAACAAGAGAAGTGTATTGTCTACAGTGACAGTCAGAGTGCCATCCACCTCTCCAAGAATTCAACATTCCATTCGAGATCCAAGCATATTGATGTTAGATATCACTAGATTCGTGATGTGCTTGAAGGGAAACAGTTACACTTAGAGAGATCCACACCAGTGAGAATGGATCAGATATGTTGACGAAGACTTTGCCTAAGGAGAAACTTGAAGCTTGTAGCAGAGAGCGGGCTTAGTTGAGCCCACCAAAAGATGCAGAGGGGGAGTTTGTTGGGTTCCGCCCCATTTGTGGGCTGGAACAACAAATGGGCTTCTAGCCCAAATGACAAAGAAAAAAGGATAGGCATGCTGCTCACGTGGGCAGTAAACCAGGAAATAGAAAAGAAAAGAAGAAGGAGAATCGGGAGTAGCAGGGGCAGCCGAGAAAACTAGAGAAAAAGAGAGAGAGAGAGAGAGAGAAAGAGAAAAATGGTAGGGTTTTAGTGCTTGTGCAAGACGATTGGGTGGCGAAACGTTGTCAGTTTCGGCTCAAATTTGACGTGGAGAATCCTTGTGGCGAGCTCTTCCAATCTACCGGACTTGATTTCTCATTTAGCCTCTCTTTAGTACTCTCTTGAGTACTCCTAAGTTGGTGAGACTTAGCTTTTCTTTGGTGTTATTATTGTTATCCATCTTTGTTGATGATGTCCATATTGTTGGTGAACCAAGAATAATGTTTCTTGATGATATTATTGTTGTGAGCCTCTAGTTTGATTCTAGAGAGAAACTTTGTAATCCCATTGTTGATATAGTGGAAGAGATTTAAGTGGCCTAAGGGTCTCGCGGTTTTTACTCTCAATTTGAGAGGTTTTCCACGCTAAAAATTAGTGTTTCACTTGTGGTTGATTATTTTTGATTAATTGGTGCATTGGTTGTTTGGCTTTGTTGGCAATCTGTTTGAGATCCTATTTTAGCACACAAAGAGGGAAAGTTTTATTCCGCAATTGTTTGTTAGTTTTCCCAACAGGTATATATCCCAACTTCCATCTAATATTGAATCATATAACTTTTTTTTTTCTTTTGTCCTTCGATAGAGCAATTGATATTCTATGTATACTTAATTTAATTGCTTTCCTCTTAAATATAACCAAACTTTTAATCCACTAAAAAACGTTTCCTCTTTTGTTTCATTTCTCTCTTTTTCTTTAATCCTTCTTTGGTCCTTATTATATTGTCCCGTCTTTTATGCGAATTTCTGAAATCGGTGACTCTATGAAAAAAGAACGACACTTTTCATCATATTATTATCCTGAAAAAAATATTATAGTTTTAAAGAAAGAGCAATTTTACATATCTTGTATCTTTATGTATCTCCCTCTTTATTTGTGAGAAAAGTATCAACTACTTTGGTAGTTTTTCGCTGCTTCTCTTAAGAATTATATCCGTTTCATTTTGATAGGCTATCCATATGCCATGCTTTTATTTATAATCTTTCTTTTTACAGGTTATGTTTTTTTTTTTTAAAGAAAAAATAGGTGAAATATATCTACATCCCTAGTTTTGTTATGCATACCTCTCTTTTTGTATTATATTTTAGTTTCCTATTTTCTTACCATTAGTTATCTTTTGAATTCCTATCTTATATGTACACACACTCATACATCTATCTTCTATAAATCAAAATCTTAAAACTTTAGTCCTAAAAGATTTATTTTCTTAGGTGTGTGCATTTAATTATGTGAGTAACTTCTTTTTAAACGACATGCATGTTTAGAATCAGCCACTAAATCTTCAAATTTTGAATTACAGCCCACCAAAATGGTTCAAAACCTGCATTTTTCATGTTTTTATTGGGGATTATATCTAGACGCCAAGGGCATAAGTTTTCATAGATTAGAAGATGAAGAACTGAGGCAAAATAAGAAAAGACCTTGAATAGGAACGACGGCTTAAAAAATGACAGCATCTCCGAAATGCCACATCTCAAAGGACAATCAGGCTTTTAAATAACAATAGTTTAAAACGACATAAATCCAAAATAGGACATTACAATAAAAACAAGATCATCAAAATTGCAATATTGTATCACAATCTATTGGACAAATGACAAGAATGCTCTAAACTGACGACGTTTATAAATAGACAGAAATGACACTGGAAAACGATCGATCTTCAAGAAACCATGGTTCAAAGATTCTTGTTTATAAAAAAAAAAAATGAAAAGGGAATATAAGAAATATTAAGGGAACTTAAGTGCGAGGAACAGAAAAACTTATATAAACCTGCCAGTACAATAAGTTTAAAGACGTCAACATATCCAATCACATAAAAAATACTAAAAACGAGAAGAACAGAAAAAAAATCATAAATACAACAAGAAAACGGACAACTTCTTTAAAAATGACAACCACGATAAATATCAGAAAAACAACAAGATAGGCATTCAAGATATAAAAATAACATAAAACGACAACATTCAATCAAAAGCGACAAAGTTTTAGACGACAATTTTTCAATGAAAAGAGAGAGATAGAGACATAGAGGAAGAGAAGAAAGCCTGCGAAAGATGAGAGCTTGAGGTAACAAAAACTATTTTTTTCCTTTCAAACAACTACATAACAAAGAAACGATAAGAATATAAAAACTTAGACTGTAAAAAAGTGTAAAACCACGAACTTAACATCTAAAAAAAATCAAAAAAATGAAGCCTTTCAAAAATTAGACTCACTCTGCTGCGACTGTCTTTATAGAATATGAATCCTGTTATTTCATATTTTGAGCCATCAATTGAACTAAATGCCTGCTTTCAGAAACCGAGATTACCATTTCTATTTATCTAGCGTTTTTTTTTGGCGTCCACTTTCTGATTACACTTCTGGTATCTTAAAGAAATTAATAAATTACCAGTCTCTTCCCATAATTTGGCTAATCTTTGCAAAAGAAAGAACATTTTAAAGTCTCAGCTTCAATAATTCAATTGTCTATTCACTACATTAATGTACATTGATCATCAAAAGAAGCTTTGAGCACATATAATTCCCATGTGATGGGACAACAAACAATTACCCTTTCTATCCTACAAATGGCAAAGGAATGAGGGGATTTAGAAGGGTACTTAAAAGTAATGACAAGTTTATGTCAATTACTTTGGTGCATGAGAAATTGTGGACCACAAAACAAATCATATCAAAAGCATCTCTACACTTGAAAGCTCTGCTCAATTAGAAGGTCGCTTCTTTTCAGGGTGGAAGGGCCGTATGAATGCGGAGTTCATCTGCCATATCTTAAGTGACGTCGTTACGGTGGCTTCGGTCGCATTGTTGAATACGAAAATCCGTGCAGCTCCATAGATTGCCCTTGTTGGGTACACCCTCGATGTTATGCATGCTCTACCCCCTTGTGCAAAGCTTTCCACTATGGAATGGTCAACCTGGAATTTCACCATGAATGTAAGTTGAACCAATTCTTCTACTTTTCTCTATAAAAAAATTCTCTACTAAAAACAATCTTAATTGAAAAAACAAATGAACTCTTTATAGAGGACCACTCACCAATATTCTGACAGATAGCTTTTCACCCTCTAAAACTGAAACGAAACTACCATAGATTTGTTTATTCACATCACTTGCCACAGAAGACCTACAAGGGAAAATTAATTTACTCTTCTGATTAATGGCCTCAAAATTCTTTCACCAATCACAATATTTTGGTCTTATATACATATGTGTGTGCGTGTGCGTGGAAGTACCTTGATTGATCAGTGCAGAAGAAAGTCTTGAGATTTCCATCAGATCCTTTAACAATATAAAAGTAAACAGGAGTCTGCTCAGACCGGATATCATCTGCAAGAACCAAGAGACCAAAGGGTCCCAAAGCACCACGTTGCCAAGCACCACCACTTATACTGCAGCTAAACTCAGTGTAATTGGCTTTAGCTGTCTCCTCCAAAGCCTTCTTATCCATCTCAAACTCCGCAACAATGTCTAGCTGTTACAATGTTGGCATAAATGTTCTTTTTGTAAGTTCACATGAGCTATATATATATATATTTTTTGTATGTTGGAGGGAATTTTAGACACAAATTTAAGTAAACAAATACACTGACCTGTGTGGCCGTGCCAATATCAAGTGGCACCACCGATCCAGGCGTGACCTGCACATCGTTGAATTCTGAGCTGGTTAATCTCAAGCTCTCAACTTCCTCAACTGGCCATTGAAGTAGATTTGTACCAGTCTTCTTGTCCAACGATATTGTCCTGGGAATACCCTATAATTCATAAACATTACACAAAAAATGTTACATAATTACGAGTGAAAGATAAGTGTCCAAACTGATTACTACTTTCTTGTAGCATGATGCTATTTGACATCAATAGTGTCAGGCACCACTACGATAGTAACAACAAGTCTTAGTCCCAACTTAATTAGGGTCGGCTATATGAATTTCACTTTTCCACGCAGCTAGTGTCAGGCACCACTACTTATAATAATTAAGTTTAATTATTTATTTGAGTTTTTGAGTTTTGGTACGAGTGCTGCACTATTAATGTCTTTTATAATATTTATTTCTTGTTAATAAAAAACAAAATGCTTAAGAGCACCATAAAAAATAGAATGTAGGACTACTTTCTGTTAGTTGTGGAGCTTAATATTACTGGTGCTCTCTAATATTGTTTTATGAATAATTAGCGGTAAGATTACCTGAAGTGATGCCCATCCCTTCCTCACATCAGCAAGTTCACTATCAGATTCTGAAATCCAACCCCACAAGATTCTCCTCCTTTTATTCTGATCATAGAAAGACTTGGAAGCATAGAAAATGCCATAATCATACCTAATTCCAATCCCAACATCAATCTTGGGGTTATCAGGATACCATTTACTATTCTTTTCATCATAAGTCCCAATTGCATAGTAGTCATGTCTGTCATCATCAAGGCTAGCCTTAACCACATGCCTAACTCCGAGGCCATTGGCCGACGTCTCCATCCCCTCATTGGAGACCTCCGAAACCGGGTAGAAATCTGCGCACTCCCACATCCCGGTGCCAGGCACACCATGAAGGATTCCATCCAACCGCTCATAGGTCTTGAAATCAAGGGTGTCATAAACCAAAGAAATTCCAGTCTTGTTGATCTTAGACCCTATGATGATCCTCCACTTCCCTTCTGATGTCAACCACGCCGTGGTCGGGTCACGGAAGTCCTTCTTGTTGATGCCCGGTGGCGGGACTAGTACCGGGTTGCCAGAGTACTTTTCCCATTTGATGAGAAGGGGGTCAGAAGGATCAACAGGGTATGCAAGATTTTGGACCTGCACTGACTCATTGGTGGAGCCAGTGTATAACATGACAACTCTATTGTCCGGGAGGATTGTGGCAGAACCGGACCAGACGCCATTTTGGTCGTACCATTGATCGGCAACCATGGCCAGGGGAAGGTGCAACCAGTGGATCAAGTCTTTAGACACGGCATGACCCCAGACTATGTTTCCCCACACTGCACCATTGGGGTTGTATTGGTAGAAGAAGTGGTACCATCCTTTGTAGAACAATGGACCTGTGAAACATCATATAAAATGTGTTATTAGTATTAGATTCAGACACATAATAGCCAAGAAAGGTTATTGTACTGTACTAACATCAAGTGGTTATACATTCTCAACATATAATAGATCAATTTTATAGAAGGATATGAGATATAGAAGAGGATATTCAACATAAGATTAAGGTATGGTGGGTTAAGTGGAAGAATGTTACGGGAGTTTTATGTGATGACAATATGTCTATTAAGTTAAAAATAAAGTTTTATATGACTGCAATCCGCCCAATTATGTTATATGATAGTAAATGTTAGGTCATTAAGAGACAACATATATGTAAGATGAGTGTGACAGAAATGCATATGTTAAGATGGATGAGTGGCCATACGAGAATGAATCGCATAAGGAATGAAGTTATTCGTAGTAAAGTAAGTGTAGCACTAATAGAAGATAAGGTTCGCGAAGACCGCTTGAGGTGGTACGGGTATGTCCAACATAGACCGCTAGAAGCACCAGTTCGTGTTTGGGAGGACATTCTTATACTTAATACTATGAGAAGAAGGGTAGACTAAGAATTACGTGGACCGAAGTAGTTAGGAATGACATTCTAGAGCTAGGCTTTCAAGAAAGTCTAATTTCAAACATAACTGCGTGAAAAATGAAATCCATATAGCCGATCCCAATTAAATTGAGATTAAGGCTTGTTGTTATTGTTGTATATGAGAATAATACTCTTATCATTATTTCACTATTTTAGATAGTCAAATTATGATAGGTGGTAAATGAGATTTCATATGACAACACGGTTTAACCCAACCCAAATTGATGATACCATTTATACAAAATTGGGTCAATTTCAATTTGACTTGATGTATCAAATCTTCTTTTCTTTTTTTTTTTAGTAGTATCAAATCTTCTATGTTATATATGACATAAACAAAAAAATTTTAAAAAAAGAGATTTTAAAATATAGATGAATGATTTAAGTAAGTAAATCAATACTCTATTTATTTATATTAGTTGTGATAATGAGAATTTGAGTGATGTTTTCATTAAACAGATAACATTTAGGTTAACTTAAAATTAACACGAAAATTTAAAGTTGATAAGAACACAATCTAAAATGTCACTGCTCACTCAATTTATTGTACCCATATCAAGTGGGGTACACAATTTTTTTCATAAGGTGCGGGAATTTTATGGTAGATTATGAATACTCTACAAATAATATACTATTTTAGACTTTAAGTAACAAAATAATGATTTCATATCATATAACTTATAAAAATGAAAAATTTAACGGTGGTCATTGAAAATTTGGGGATTTAAAATTACCAGTGTCAGATGAAGTTTTTTTTTTTCCCCCTCTTTTTTCCCTATCATCAAAGAATTCTCTAAACTATTCGTTGTAATTTTTTTAAAAATACCGTTAGTGCCAAAGTACAAATAGGAAAACGTGGATTGTGACTAATTAGAGCTTTTGACATGTGAACTTTGGGGCGCATAGGCATTGATAATGACTGGTGCCCTTTGTTGTCTTTAATCATGTGATAATTTTCAATGAAAACAAACGGCTGCATAAAGGTTTGCAGAAATTGACAACTCAAAAATCTCTAAGATCTTGGGCTCGATCTCAGCCGTGTATTAATTGTCAGTCCTAATTCTTCCTTAATACTTGGTCAATTCTACCAAAACTCATTCTTGTTTCATAAGTTACTTACGCGTTTCAGATTGATATTCATGGATAAAGAATTGCACCATAATAAACACGTAAATGGAAAGAAGAAAAAGTGGACTTACCATTTGGATCTGAAGCAGACAGATGCAGAAGATTCACGCGGTCAGAGCAGTGACAGTTGTAGACGCAACCAAGAAGGCGGGAAAAAAAATCAGTTAACCACTCAATAATTATATTTATTTAAAATCAACTGTAATAATAGACCCGTAACCCTTTTTATTTTTTTTATTTTTTTCCTTCTTGAAAAGGAAAAAACACTTTTTTAACGTTTATTTCACCCATTATATCCCATCATCTTTTTTTTTTTTTTTTTTGGAGAGGATTATATCCCATTTTCTGTAGTAAGGTCTTAAATAATTACCCCACTTTAGCTGACCAAATAAGGAAAGAAATAAATATATAGGAAAACATGCCTTAATAACAACTTAATACCGAGTTTAGCCAGAAATATAAGGAAATCTCAAAATCTATAGCCTAGAAGTGATTGACCAGAAACTTAAAAGGAAAACAAAATTACCAACTTACTACGAAAGCGTGTGGGATTTGTTTTTCAAAGTCTCCATAAAGTCGAAACACTTTCAATTACTCTACATATTATAAATACGAATAAACCCTACAATACATAATTCTTTATTTGTTTAATTTAACATTAAAAGTAGTCAATTCCTATAACCATGTCTTTCGATGTAACTACCAATTTGTCCCTCCGCCCAAAAATATTAAAAAACTAAATAAAAAAGTAAAAAATATAATCAAGAAAAAAAAGGGAAAAACTAACCATTCATCCAATTTTTCTCTGGTTGAAAATGGAAGGCCGTTCTCTGCCACGACAACATGCTGTTATTCCACGGAAACGCTGCCGAGTTTTCGCCGCCGAAAAGCCGGTTCGTCTTTTCCGACACGCCTGCCGACACGCCACGAGACAACGGCTTCACCGTCACCGCCGCGGGTTGTTCTCTCAATGTCGACGATGACAATGTTGATACATTTCCGTTTGTCGGGTCTTCATGTCTGATTTTGGTACCGAATATGGCGGCCATTAAAGCCACCATGAGCAACCCACTGGCCACCGCGACGAGCCCTTTAATGGGTCGGCGGCGGCGGCGATCCGGCTTATCGGCTCCGTCATGGAGAGAACCGTACGACGTAGGAAGTAGAACATCCCGCGAGGGAGAAAGGAATGGCTGCGAGTCCACCATAACGTTATGGTGTGGGTTATATGTATTTATTGTATATGGTTTTTGGCAATTCGTAATCTAATATTAGAGAGAGAAGAGAGAGAGAAAACGTCAATGGGGATTAGTATTGTATTTGTTGTAGAAGAGAATGGTGGGATTTTCGGAAAGAGAGAGAGATTGAGAGATTTTCGTGAATTGGTTTGATTCCAAATATTAGAGGAACACATATATATATATATATAGATTTAGATATAGTACTGTTATATTAGATGATGATATATGGTAATTTTTGTTGATTTGTAACTATTTGTTTGACCTGTTGAATGGAATTTTTTTTTATTACACTATGTAACATGGGTCAATTAAATTAAAGTACGTGATTTCTATCCCAACATATATAAAAGGTTGGTGGCCCAACATTTTCATGTGGGAATTTTTTATAACTTTGGACTGGTTTTTATTTGGGGTCATGTCGTCATTGCAAACTTTTTTTTATTACTTTAGTACCCTTTTACTTTTATTTTGTTTGGAAGTAATAATGATGAGAAAAAAAAAATCGAAAATTTGGTATAGCTGATTCAGAATTGACTATTGGTCTTTTGGGAACCTCAAAATTACTAGACAAATGGCATCTGCCAAGACAGCATTGCGTGGCATTCATATGAATATATCCACACAATAAAATTATTGGGGAGTAAAGATGTTCCTAGCCACATGTTAATAATGATGACTAAGCCCCCTAAGAGACCCCCCTCCCATTTTTCTTATATATTATTTACAAAAATTCAAAGCTTGATTGCTTTTTGTCTCCGTTTTGTTTCCCATCCATTGCATAACATTATTGAGCCCCCCCAATCCAAAAAAAAAAAAAAAAAAAAACAACAACAACAACAATTACCTAAACCAGATCGCTATACTTTTGTTCTTTTCTCTATATTCTTTGCCAATCGGTCCACATGCCCACCCCCCATTTCCACATGCAATTCTGTCAAATAAAGTAAAGAATATATCTATTTAAATAAAAATCAAATATAGATAAATCAATCTATAGCGATTTTCATTATATTAAACATAAGCAAACTGATCATAAGTAGTGTCTTTTGTGGTATAATCGATTGGGATGAACTCACAGACAGAATCAACTCAATCCAACAAATGGCCAAAAACTGAACCTAACACGTGTACCTCTCTCAAGTCTCAAGTACTTATATATTTCTATTAATCAGGGTAATCTTCAATTAATTTCTTGTCACACTTAATCGGCGGTGACACGTGTTAGTGTCCAAAGGGCTAGTACATGATCAGAGATTAATAAAAGAGAAAAAGGTTGTAATATATTAATTAGTGACTAAGCAAGGTACATTATTACCACCTTCATGGACCACGAATCACATCATGACCCTTTTCTTTGGGATCCTCGGGTCTATAATGTGCCAGCTTGTCGAACCTTTTTTAACACGTCATGAATTATTGCCCACACATCAATTTTCTATTTCTCTATAGTGGATTATATTATTGGATCAAATGCATCATTGAACAGATGGACTAAGTTTTTTTCTACCAAAAAAATAAAAAGATGGACTAAGTTCTAATTTTTTTCTCGCATATGCTTTTGGATCTGGATCTTTAAAATATTGGCAAGTTCAGGCAAATTGTTCATAATAGAAGGGATAAAATTATCATGGCCAACAAGTAGAATATTGATTATGGAAGAACACACGTCTTAGAATACTTAAATTATCAAAAAAAAAAAAAAACGAAACGACTTAGAATTGTGAGAGTTTTGAAATGTTCTTGACAATGGTTTGGAAAGTTTCAAGTCAGCGGTAAAAAGTTGGATTAGAAATAAATTAAATGGGAATAAAAAGTAGACAATAAAACCGTCATCCACGAAGGATTATACTTTTCTTTATATATATATATATACTTTTCCCAAGGGCTTTTCAAAATCTATCTGCCAATTACGTACTTGACCCAATATGGATCATGGGGAGGGTTTATTTGATTTTTTATTATTATCAAAGACGCATCATAAAAGCAAAAACACTGAAATAGATAAAAGAATAATTTATTAGAATAACCAAAAACAAGTTAAATCATTGCATCTAATAAATAACAAATTAAGAGAATTTCTTCACGTAGTTTCTTCATGTGGCGTGCACATAATTCTACAAGAAATACAAAATTTTATCTCCATGAGAAATATCTCTTAAGCTCTTTCAAAATATACTTCTAATTATATGATAACATATATTTGATATTAATGTCGAAACTCACCTACTTATAAACTTGATCAAGCTATTAGAAGTTATATATATATATATATATATATATAGAAAGAAATATATAGGTTAAGATCTAGAAAAAGAAGTTGTAGAAAATAAAGAGGATCTTCTCTCTCCTACAAGAACACCAAAATTTAAGACCAAAGGGCTAGCACACAGATTAATTATTAATAATTAATAAAAGAGAAAAGGTTGTGATGCATTAATTATTTACAAAGCAAGGTATATTACCACCTATATCGACCAGCAATCACATCAGAGGATATTCAGCATCCATGTCGTCATGAATTATTGCCCACACATTATTGGATTAAATGCATCATTGAAGAGATGGACTAAATTTTTTCTACCCAAAAAAAAAAAAAAAAAAAAGGAAGATGGACTAAGTTTTCATTTTTCTCTCACGCGTTTGGATCTTTACGTAAATTAATATTGACAAGTTTAGCATAATTGTCCATAATGAGGAGGGTAATTATGGGATCAAAATAGAAGGGGAAAACTATCATGATGATAAACAAGTCGAAGTTTGATCATGGAAGAATATACAACTCTGAAATATTCTTGACAATGAATGGTTTGGAAAGTTTCAAGTCTGCGGTAAAGTTTAAGTTGGATTAGAAATAAATTAAATGGGAATAAAAAGTAAACAATAAAACCATATATAGTCATCCTCGAAGCACATTATACTTTTAATTTTTTTTATTATATATTTTTCCCATGGGCTTTTCAAAATCTATCTGCCAATTACTTGAGAAATTGGCACTTGACCCTATACCATAATGGATCATGAGGAGGGTGTATTTGATTTTTTTTTTTTGTGCCAAAGACACATCATATAAGTAAAAACATCGAAATAAGTATAATAGTAATTTATTAGAATAACAAAAAAAGTTAAATCGTTATTCTAATAAAGAACAAACAGATTTTTTTTACACATTTTTTTTTTCATGTGTCGTGCACGTAATTGTACAAGATACTTAATTAAGCTCCACAAAACAAATCTCTTCACCTCTTTCAAAATTCAAAATACACCTCACCTTTAACAGTGACGAAGCCAAAAATTTATCAAGATAGAGAAAATTAGACGATTAAATTTTTAATGTTTAATGGGAGTATATGTATATATTGATATAATAAATTACATATCCTTTTAAGAAAAAATAAATTAGGTAGGGGTTCACACTAAAGCCTACTTAGCTCCGTCCATGACCTTCTATGCATGCACGTACTTCTAATTAAGACGGTAACATAATTGATATTAAGGTCAATACTCATCTGCTTGAGATTTTGCTATTCAAAGTTATAGATCTAAAAAGAAACTCAATCTCATGTCTACTTGTTCTTTTTTATCTTGGAATGAGAGTGAGATTGATGGCCCCACTCAAATTTGGGATTGAGGAATGAGATTGGCACTCCTATGCCTCCTCTTGGGATTGAGACTCTCATTCCTAATATTAATATTAATTTACTATTATACCCTTATTTTACTTATAAATACACAATTAAAAATAAAATTCAAAAAATAATACATGCAACATATATTTATTATTTTATTTGCCTAATATTATAATATTAGCATAATTATTGTTAACTTTAATATAATAAATATGTACTTTTATTTTTAATAAATTAATAATATATTTTATTTTTTAACACTATTTTTTATTTTTATTTATTTTATTTAAATTTATTTAAAATTTATTTTTTATATTTTAAATAGTTGTACAATTTATATTTATTATTTTAGTACCCAATTATTACACTAAATATTTTAATTATGATTAATTTTAATATAATAAGTACACAATATATTTTTTAAATTGAAAATATCAAATTGATTTAAAGGGTATATTAGTAGTTTTACACTTTTTCATTCTGATTCTGGGTATAAGTAAACGTATGAATGAGATTTGGAATGACTCCGATTTCGAATCCTAGCACTAAGTAAACAGCTTATTCTGACTCCGATTCCTCACTCCGAATCCTACCCATTCCGAATCTTGTCCACTTCGATTCATGCTCATTCCGATTACGTGTAGGTAAACATATCATATATAGATTAAGATCTGGATGGATGTATGTTTTTATTTGTAATAAAAGGGATGAAAATACCAAAAAGAAAAATGAACTTCTTATTAGAAAAAGAATGATGAGGATCTTCTCTGTTAGAGGAAGAGAACACCAAAATTAATTAAGATTAGAAAATTTGTGTGGTAGGATATCTTGTCTCAGAACATATTTTTAAATGTTAAATTTGATCAAAATTATATCAAAACCAAAAAATTATACAAAACCTAATACATATGGTTCAAAACAGAACCCTATCATTCATATAATACCATATTGTAAGATTTTCATTAAAATTAAGAGAAGAATGAAGAACAAAGGAGCGGTTTATATATTTCCATAAAAGTAATAACTAAAAGTAAAAACTAGCTCTATCGTGCGCATAACGATAAGGTCCTCAAAGAACAAAGATGATTGAAATTTATCATACTGTAATTTTCTCTTCATATTATTTTAATTTGTATTTTATAAAGGGGAGACAAAGCAAATAAGAGAGAAAGAAACTGCTGTTTTTCCGTGGAATATGTATATAATTGATGTCGTCGACCACGAAGCAGCAGGTTTCTTGATTGAACTAGAAGAGTGTAGTTGGAAGGAGAACGTGGAGCCTAGTGAAGAGTGCTACTCATTGAGGTCCCTACAGCTCATAATAATTTCAAATCCATGGTTTCAGGATGTGTATAAATATATACACACACACACACACATATATATATATAGATAAGTGTTAGTTTAACTGTTTTGATACCGATAATACTAAGTATGTGTCCAAAATCAACCAAAGTACTTGGAATTGAGACCAGAAAATTTGTTATTGGGTCCCTTGTAGGAGCTGGCAAATTGAGAGGTTCCATGTGTATGTTGA